GACAGCAACTTGGCAGCAAAGAGAGTTGCAGTTGACAGAGGCAGTTGAATTGGAGAGAGGTGCTTTTTTGGAATGCGTTGTGCATTTCATTTCCCTCCTTCCATTTCCCTTTCTAAAGTCCTTACTAATTAAAACAGCTGCTTCTGTGCTGCCAGGCTAGCTCCAGGCAGGTTCTCCCTAATACTAAGCACCAGACCTTAATACTAAAAACTACTTCACCTCCTTCCATTTCCCTTTCTAAAGTCCTTTACTAAAACTGCTGCTTCTGTGCTGCCAGGCTAGCTCCAGGCAGGTTCTCCCTAATACTAAGCACCAGACCTTAATACTAAAAACTACTTCACCTCCTTCCATTTCCCTTTCTAAAGTCCTTTCTAAAACTGCTGCTTCTGTGCTGCCAAGCTAGCTCCAGGCAGGTTCTCCCTAATAGTAAGCACCAGACCTTAATACTAAAAACTACTTCACCTCCTTCCATTTCCCTTTCTTAAAGTTCTTACTAAAACTGCTGCTTCTGTGCTGCCAAGCTAGCTCCAGGCAGGTTCTCCCTAATAGTAAGCACCAGACCTTAATACTAAAAACTACTTCACCAGCTGGCATTTCCCTTTCTAAAGTCTTACTAAAACTGCTGCTTCTGTGCTGCCAAGCTAGCTCCAGGCAGGTTCTCCCTAATAGTAAGCACCAGACCTTAATACTAAAAACTACTTCACCAGCTGGCATTTCCCTTTCTAAAGTCCTTACTAAAACTGCTGCTTCTGTGCTGCCAAGCTAGCTCCAGGCAGGTTCTCCCTAATAGTAAGCACCAGACCTTAATACTAAAAACTACTTCACCTCCTGGCATTTCCCTTTCTAAAGTCCTTACTAAAACTGCTGCTTCTGTGCTGCCAAGCTAGCTCCAGGCAGGTTCTCCCTAATAGTAAGCACCAGACCTTAATACTAAAAACTACTTCACCAGCTGGCATTTCCCTTTCTAAAGTCTTTACTAAAACTGCTGCTTCTGTGCTGCCAAGCTAGCTCCAGGCAGGTTCTCCCTAATACTAAGCACCAGACCTTAATACTAAAAACTACTTCACCTCCTTCCATTTCCCTTTCTAAAGTCTTTACTAAAACTTCTGCTTCTGTGCTGCCAGGCTAGCTCCAGGCAGGTTCTCCCTAATACTAAGCACCAGACCTTAATACTAAAAACTACTTCACCCCCTTCCATTTCCCTTTCTAAAGTCCTTACTAAAACTGCTGCTTCTGTGCTGCCAGCCTAGCTCCAGGCAGGTTCTCCCTAATACAAAGCACCAGACCTTAATACTAAAAACTACTTCACCTCCTTCCATTTCCCTTTCTAAAGTCCTTACTAAAACTGCTGCTTCTCTGCTGCCAGGCTAGCTCCAGGCAGGTTCTCCCTAATACTAAGCACCAGACCTTAATACTAAAAACTACTTCACCTCCTTGCATTTCCCTTTCTAAAG